AAAAAAAAAAAAAAAAAAGGAAAAAAAGAAATCCAAAAAAACCAAAATAACACTCCACAGGTGACTCACAGACCCAAGGCCCAGACACTGGTCTACTCTGAGAATGACCGCAGACACTCCCAACCGTGGCGAGGGCTGGCATTATGACCTGTCTGCAGGAGTCAGTGTGGTCCGCCAGCCACAAAGCCTCCTTACAGAAGGATGCCTCTGGTACTCAACATCCGCCCTCCTCCTCACCTCTGGCACCCAGGAAGCTGAATCTAGTGAGAAATTCAAACCTTCAACCATCACTTTATATACACGTGAGCCTTGTAACAGATGATGGGTTGCCCATCATGTGTCTGCAGAGGAATTCACAAGGGATGCTGGAAAGGATCACTGGGTAGCTAAAGCAGTGTAGAAATCAGTCTTTGAGCTCCAAAGCCATTTGATGCAGGCAAAAAAGACTCTAGAAATCACCTAGTGCAATCCTTATTTTATAGAAGGATAAACTGAGGCCCTAAAAACATAAGTGACTTGCCAAGGTTGGTGACACTGGGGCACAGTCAGGGCTCTGAGTCTCCCAACACTGTGGCCACCGCCCTTTCCTTCGTAAACTGTGGTCTGGGTTCACCCACTCCACTGTGGCCACATCAGACATCCTTGACAACCCAGCTCTCTGGAAGACCAAAACTCTGTTCATTTCTGTGTCCCCTCAGCAATGTGCCTGGCCCTGAGTGGAATGTAATAAATGCTTTTGATGGATAATCCTTTTTGCTAAGATACAGCAGTATGATTTCTTTGAATTTTATTTCTAAAAATTATCTGCTGAAAATCACTTCTCAAAAGAAGAAAATTTGTTCTTGGCAATGTTCTTAGGGCTACTTTTTGTCTTGTTTAGAAGTGTTTGTCTCAAAATAAACATGTGTTTTGCAATAGCAAGCTAGCTGGATATATAAATGTATAGATCTATATGTGTGTACACATATGCATACACACTGCACACATATAGACAAACACTTCTAGTGTTCCCAAACGGGACCTTTCCTAATACTTGCTGAGCTCTAAGACGGCATAAAGTTAAATGAAAACAGTGGTCCCTCATGTGCAAATGCAGTTTTGTGAAATATATTTAACACCCAAAACTGTAACCACTAGCGTGAGGTCAAGGAACAGAACATCTGCTTCTCTGGTTGCCAGACAGAGATGATGACGACATGACAACGTTTGGGTGAGAAATATTCATTTTCCTCTGCAACCACAAACATGCTTACAAGAGCCAAAACGGGCTCCAGATTGCTCAACAGGAGGAAAAGAGAGCCTACGAATGAAGCTTGTTCTTGACAGAGAAATCATTTTGGGGAGATGAAGATTTAGAAGCAATAACAGTGGGATTCATCTGTGACTTCCCAAATTCAAGCACTAATGGGAACCAGGAATACCCCAAACACCATCAGCACAATTCTTCATTCGTTCAACAATATATACTGAGTGTCTATCAGTATCAGTGCCGTTGGCTGTTCTAAGCACGAGGGATACAGCAGTGAACCAAACCGATGTAACTCCTTGCTTACTTTCTAACAAGCAGAGGCAAACAATTATATTAAATTGTACGTCAGATGATGGAGGCAAAAAAGGGGGGAGGCGATGGGGAGTGCTGGGGGGAGAGAGTTTAAGAATTGTATTAAGGAATCCAGGGAAAGCCTTACTGAGAATGGGGTATGCAGCAAAGACTTGAAGGAGGGGGGCAAGCAGCCATGCGGGAAGAGTGCTCCAAGCAGAGGCGGTGTAAATGCCTCCCAAAACCAACTGTGAACTCAACCACAACTGAGTCTTACTCTCAAGGTAGCTCCAGGGTCTGGTACAAGATAAAACTGTTTTCTCAACAGTGAATACCAAGTGTGTGTGTTAAATTACTCATCAACGGAATAAAAAAGGAGAAAACGGGGCCGTGTGATCTTACAACCAGGGCTGCTGTTACTGGAATCAAAACCCACATGAATAGATAACCAACAAGGACCTACTACTGTATAGCACAAGGAACTATACTCAGTATTCTGTAATAACCTATAAGGGGAAAGAATCTGAAAAAGAATATATATATATATATATACACACACACACACACACACCCCCATATATATGTATTTATAACTGAATCGCTTTGTTGTACACCTGAAACTAACACAACATTGTAAATCAGCTACACTTCAATTTAAAAACAAAAATAAGAGCTCGAGGCTTTTCAGGGCATGAGCCATCTCACCTCCTTGCATGGCCTTGCAATAAACCTTTCTCTGCTCCAAAAACAAAAACAAAGACAAACGAAACAAAAAACTACATGAGTTCCAGGCCAAGTGCCACAAAATAGTGCACAGCCCTGTGGGAGCCACCTTGTCCCAAAGGAGCAGTGAGAGTGGGTGCTCATGGGAAGAACTCTGCTTTTGGTAAAGTTGGGGAGGGGGGGAGGAAAATCAATATTTTTCTGATTTTCAACACATTATTCTTTGTATTTTCCTAAAGCCACATGGTATAAATCAAAGTTACGGGAGTTGCTTCAATGTCTTTTTTTTTTTTTTTTTAAGCCCAAAGGTTATTCCTGACATTCTACTTACTTCTCTCAGAGTACTGTTCAAACATTTATTCTATTTCCTTTCTCCTTCCTTCAAATTTTATCTGATTTGGCAGGTGAACAGCCTCAAATTGAAGGAGGATCTTCACATTAAAACTAAAGTTATCTCAGGCAACCATACCTGAACAGTAACTCTTAAGGTCTTGTATATTTTATAAGAGCCAGAGAGAAATTCATTCATTTCTCTTCTGACTTTTAAAAGCCACGGTGGAAGTGGTTCAGGATTACTGTTTGCATAACGGGTCATTTTTCACCAGGACAGTTTCTGGTGTTTCTGGTTAAATCATGTAGCTCTGATTCGGACTGTGCTTAAATCCTGACATCTCCCATCCATAAATAAGGATGGTGCCACTTCTGTATGATGTAACTGGTTTTGTTTGGGGTTGTGTGGGTTTTCTGGAGGGTGGGGATGGCAGTGGGTAAGTGGAAAGAATGAGTTGAATCAATTTATTATCTCCTAAGTAATACTGCCTGTCCAACACTGGCTGTCAACTTTCAAGCACGGCTTTTTTTTTTTTTGCGGTCCGCGGGCCTCTCACTGTTGTGGCCTCTCCCGTTGCGGAGCGCAGGTTCCGGACACGCAGGCTCAGCGGCCGTGGCTCACGGGCCCAGCCGCTCCGCGGCATGTGGGATCTTCCCGGACCGGGGCACGAACATGTGTCTCCTGCATCGGCAGGCGGACTCTCAACCACTGTGCCACCAGGGAAGCCCCCAAGCACGGCTTTTGATACAGGTCATATGAAATAACTCAAATTTAGAAATCACAAATATTCCAGTACAAATTTTGTTTTTCAAGAGTGTCAAGTACAAACAGCAGGTATGGAAGAACGAGCATGATCTATACCTGGCTTTTCATATGCTAAGGATTACCAATGGTCAACCCCAGGACATGCTGTACTCACTACACCTTCTGTTTATTCTAACTCTGACTGAAATATAAGGCTCATCTTGTAACTCTCTGCAAGTAATGCTCAAATTAGCTCTGAAGTCAGTCACATTTGAATCACCATTTTCCTCTATTTGTAGCCAAATAACAAAAGAGCAATAGAGGCTACTATAGCTGCTTTAAAATTAAAATTTCATTTACAATTTTAATTAAAACCAATCCCGAGACTTCACAAGTATTTAGAAACTTATCATTTTACATTTCTTGTCTCAGCACTCAGTACTGTGAGATGAACAGCCTAAGAATGTAAACAGGCCTAAAAATGTTTTTAAATTTTTTGACTATTAAAATTCTAATGAAAATAAATGCATATATATGTATTTTCCCCTCCATTATTGGGAAAAATACCATTTAATCTAATACCATAGACTTTGCCAAAACATCACCGAGCTGCTGTGGTCTCTGCCAACTAATTAAAAAAAATAATCGCAAAGAGGGATAAAGTGAGCATTCAGGATATTAAAGGTAACAAAGAAGTACTGATTTTTATAGTAGACATATATTAATAGCCTCGAATGAACCAGAATCTAAAAACAATACCCAAATAGATCGATCTGTGCTTAAAAATAGTGTTTTTCATTCAAATTGAGCTCCAGAGTAAATCTGGAAGGCTTCTATTCTAATGTATTGTCAAAATATGCAGAAAGGGCACAGGTTCCTGCCCAGGTCCGGGAAGATCCCACAGGCCGCGGAGCGGCTGGGCCAGTGAGCCATGGCCGCTGAGCCTGCGCGTCCGGAGGCTGTGCTCCGCAACGGGAGAGGCCACAACAGTGAGAGGCCCGCGTACCACAAAAAAAATAAAATAAAAATAAAATAATTTTTAAAAAATGCAGAAAGGGCAATGATTGTTAAATGAATTACAACAAGAGAGTACACTCAATTTCGTATCAGTAGAAACAGTAGACTGTGTTTATTACTACAGCATTTTATACATAGTATATGGTAAATAACCACTGAATTGATCTAAGACCCATCTCCAAATGCAAGGGATTTCAGATAGGAAAAATGATAAGATGGTAAAGGGGATAAGGCAGCATATCTTCAAATTATGGAGATTTAAATTCCTTCAGTTGGGACTTCCCTGGTGGCGCAGTGGTTAAGAATCTGCCTGCCAATGCAGGGGACACGGGTTCGAGCCCTGATCCGGGAAGATCCCACATGCCGTGGAGCAACTAAGCCCATGTGCCATAACTACTGAGCCTACACTCTAGAGCCCGCGAGCCACAGCAACTGAGCCCACGTGTCAGAACTGCTGAGGTCTGCGCGCCTAGAGCCTGTGCTCTGCAGCAGGAGAAGCCACCGCAATGAGAGGCCCGTGCACCGCAACGAAGAGTAGCCCCCGCTCACCGCAACTACAGAAAGTCCGCACGCAGCACCGAAGACCCAGTGCAGCCACAAATAAATAAATAAATAAATTCCTTCAGTTGACATCTCAGTAGTAAGTACATCTAAAGCCAAAAAACAAAAATAAAACTCAAAATCTTTATAAATGCTGTAAACTTAAACTCATGTTTACTTGGACAGCAAAAGCACAGAATTTCTTAGATTGTGCGAGTATGCTACTTATTCTCTTGTTCTAAGGTTCTAGTTCTTTTCTTTCCAGTCCCACTGAAAATGACTCAAAAAGAGCCAAGAGCTGAAATCTGGGTGGATTACCTCCATCTTCATTTATCCAGTAAAGAAAAAGATTCATTGTTCCAACTTCAGTTATCTGATTATCCTCTCCATAGAGCCACAGAACCTGCTGACACGCGTTATCCATTGCTTCACATTGGGCAAAGAGAGATGAGCCATAATTCCTTTTAAGAAAGAGGAAACATACTGATTATGACTATACTTCAGCCCCTACCTCCCAGTAAGTCTTTAATTCACGCGTGGATGTAGTCAATGTACTATGTTTTTAATAATATATACTCTCTAGTTAACTGCATAATATTAAAGGAAACCCATTAGAGAACCTAAATGGTCTAATTGCACTCATTTGAGAAAGAGAGAGCAAAGAAAAATCATGGAATTCTAACTTGAAAAGTTAAACACAGGTAAATAGACAAGTTAGCAACACTTAAAAACTTATTGAGTATTTTTTTCACATACGAATCAATTTTATATTTCATTTAAACCCCATACCAACACTGTGAGTTAGCCACGATCATTATTTCCATGGTTCAGATGACAAACTGAGGTTTACAGAAGTAACTACTATCAAGTTGCAGCTATTAATTAGCAGAACACCAACCCTGGGCTCTGAGACCTTTCAGTATAACCAAGAAACGCCTAATGTCCAAGGTCTAAATTCCCTAAAAGGTGATACAAGATGTTAAAAATCCTGATTTTAACCAAAAGTATTCCAAAAGCCTGTTTTTCTCAACCAGCACTATTCACCTTGGATTACTCAAAATCAAAGGAACATGGCATATCTTCCTGGAATGATAATGTAGTTTAGTAGTTTATTCACTCATTCATTCATTCGTTACCTGACTCCTAGGAGAAGTTTAAGTAAACTTGTTAGGGGAACACTTTCCTCTGTGAATCAGAGTGTAAGATACAACTGACATTTAACACACACACACACACACACGGCCCGTGGAGAATAAACTCAAACTACAGAGATAAGAAATTGAAACATCTTGGAATTGACTTTTTTAAAGATATATTTTCACAAATGGTCTATCATTTGGAAGGAGAACTGAATTCTAAACTAAACAGAAATATTAATGTTCTTTATACCTTAAAATTTCATTTGGAGGGTGGGAAGGAGGGAGATGCAAGAGGGAAGAGATATGGAACATATGTATATGTATAACTGATTCACTTTGTTATAAAGCAGAAACTAACACACCATTGTAAAGCAATTATACTCCAATAAAGATGTTAAAAAAAACATTTCATTTGGCATGGGTAAATTCATTCGTAACGATGCCTAGCTCTCACTGTCTTCATTAATGAGTTCTCCAATTTTCTGTTGCTTTAGGAGAAAAGGAAGTAATATTTTAAATTTATCTTTTATTAAATTTATTATTAAATGGGAAAATTATGGAGTATAATACAAAATATGAATCAATGTTTTAGATAAAACATGAGAGTCCTCAAATAAATGTGACGCTCGCTTGCCTTTCTATGCCCCTGGTTATATAATTCACTTCCCTTGGCTTTCAGAGGATATTAGCAAACAAGTTTGCGAAGGACTGCCATGACAATTAGGCATAGGAAATAAACCCTAGGCCCACCTCGGACTATGAACCCCCAGAAGTACACAGAAATCATCAAACATATAACAATAACTGCTACAAAGCATTAATGTTACCTTCTACAAAATACCCACCTAGGCCTTTTAATGATCTCTTTTACACCTGGGCAAGATTAAAAACTATAGTATCGTCTAAGTCAAAGTGTAAGGTAAGCACAAAAGCCATATATCATAGTGGCTACGTGCCATTCTCATCTGCACACGTACTCTTCCCACTATATTCTCTCTGGCTCTTCCCACGGAGTCAAGTCATTCTGCTTGGGTTGACAATCATAGCATCTTGTCCTGCCACAACTGAACAAAAGCATGGGCAAGTAACTAAGCTGCTCATAAGTTCTTATTTGAGTTCCTTCACTCATTCATTTTAATGTATGAAACCTGAAAGATTTATTTTCTCCCTTTGAGAGTGGTGGCAGCTTGTGTGCTATGACGTAAGCCTGGGTCTACTGTGTCCATAATCACCAGCCTTCAAAGGAGAAGGCATCTGAAGTAGGAGGGCCCTAAGTTAACACAGCCAGAAGCTATGACAAGAGATGAAGGTAGGACCGAAGCAGAGGGAAAGGGAGGGGAAAGGGACTGGGGAGGAAGCAGCATGGGCAGGACACAGGCAAGGGCAGAAGAAACCTGGCAACAATGATTTGAGCTCCTATTAGAACGCAGCTACCATCCCGCTTACATGAGCCAATCAATCCCTTCTCTGCTTAAGATGGTTTGAACTGGTTTTCTGACTTGTAACTCTAAGACTACTGACTAATAACTAAACTAGTCTAGAAAGCTATGGGAAACAGGCATCATACTATAGGGCTATTGCAATCTGGGGCATGAAGGGGTTTACTCAATCCAAGGTGTTGAGATTCCTTTAAAAGACCCTCAATATGTATACTTCAAAACACAGGTAATAAAATGTAAACTATCGGTCAATCTGGAGATGACACAATTCTGATATGCAGGAGGCTTTTGTTTTTAATGGCAAATAGGCAATAACTGAGTTAAATCATAGTACTTTTTAATGAGTACAAACCAGGCTGCAGGGGGAGTCTGGTAGAAAGAGCATGCGTTTGGAGCCAGCAGGCCTAGATGCAGCTCTTTTACTTTTACTATTGGGTTATAAACGAACTAAAGCAAGTCAGTTCGTATTTTGAATCACTGAATTCATTTGGCAAGTCAAAATACTTGCTTGATATACTGCATTGACTGTTTGGCAAAAATAAAATAATAAAAGTTAAGAAACAGGCTATATAAGCCTGTTATATCCTAATGAAATTAAGGTTGTTTTTTAATGACTATTTTAACTGACTTTTCTCTAGTTCATAAGATAAACTTGTTGGGACAAACATCTGAAAATAAATAAACAATTTCTCTCCTAAGTATAATGCCCTTTGGTCTGTTCAAAAGCACATAGAGGGCTTCCCTGGTGGCGCAGTGGTTGAGAGTCCGCCTGCCGATGCAGGGGACACAGGTTCGTGCCCTGGTCCGGGAAGACTTTACATGCCGCAGAGCGGCTAGGCCCGTGAGCCATGGCCACTGAGCCTGCGTGTCTGGAGCCGGCGCTCCGCAAGGGGAGAGGCCACAACAGTGAGAGGCCCGTGTACTGCAAAAAAAAAAAAAAAAAAAAAAAAAAAACAAAAGAAAA